TTGACCCTCATACAGTTGTCCTTGGCCCATCGATCCAGCCTGTCCAGGTCCCTCTGCAGAGCCTTCCTACCCTCAAGGACATCAACACTCCCGCCCAACTTGGTGTTGTCTGCAAACTTACTGAGGGTGCACTAGATCTCCTCATCCAGATCATTGATAAAGATATTAAATAGAACTGGCCCCAGTACTGAGCCCTGGGGAACACCACTTGCGACCGGCTACCAACTGGATTTAACTCCATTCACCACAATTCTTTGGACCCAGCCACCCAGCCAGTTTTTTACCCAGCGAAGCATACCCTCATCCAAGCCATGAGCAGCCAGTTTCTCCAGGAGAATGCTGTGGGAAATAGTGTCAAAGGCTTTGCTAAAGCCCAGGTAAACAACATCCACAGCCTTTCCCTCATCCACTAAGCGGGTCACCTTGTCATAGAAGGAGAGCAGGTTAGCCAAGTGGGACCTGCCTTTTATAAACCCATGCTGACTGGGCCTGATCACCTAGTTGTCCTGTACGTGCCACGTGATGGCACTCAAGATGATCTGCTCCATATGATCTGCTCCATGACCTTCCCCGGCACTGAGGTCAGACTGACAGGCCTGTAGTTCCCCAGATCCTTCTTCTGTCCCTTCTTGTATATGTCATCTGTGATGCCCGTCTAACAGACCTTTTGGGTTTATCTTTATACCATTCTGTTTTCTTTCAACTGACTTTAAGCACTACACAAAAGTTACAGTGCAGTAAAAGTTGACTAACTTCTCTGCTGTATGTAAAAAACAGTAAACAGTTTTCTCAGAAATTTCTTGCCTCGTAAAAAATGAGCAGGTATATCCTCAGCTGGCTAACGCTCTGTCTCCCTATTCAGTAATTATTGGGATCAAAAGAAGCCCAACAGGTCTTTTAGAGACGCTTCGCTATTATTTAAAATTAATACATCTGACTACTAAGATTTAATATAATAAAGCTCTGCAAGACCGTTGGGTGGAAAACTTGCATACACAACTGAAAGAAATGGAGGATGGGCCACCACTACACGTGTCATCCTAATCTTAAATTACCAGGTTAAAAAAAAAAATAATAAAAAAAAAGATGGAAGTACTTAAGTAGAATTCATAGGCACTGGGATCCCAGCTACTTTACATATTTTACCCCAAAATTCTAAAATTCTTCAAAGATACACATTCAGAATGAATATGCAGCTATCAGCTACCTTTTCTAATTTAACCAAGCCAGTTTAATAATGAGTTGCCACAAAAAGCTACCTAGAATGGGACCTACTGGGTAGGAGTGCCATACCTGTGTCAAACTAAAACCTCAATATATATCAATCAAGTTTAGAAACTCCCCTGTTTCCTTAAACATAAACCAATCTTATGTGATTACAATCAAAACATAGGTTGGACTTGAAAACGTTGTTATTTAAAGACTCTGCTCTTGCCCCTTCTTCATTTGAATCTATCATCTCCACAACATCCCTACATAATACTCCACTCCTTCCTTCTCAAGCTCTCCAGAGAGAACGGCTCTTCTCTGTTTCAACCCCTTCAATCAGTCTCTGCCTAAATATCCACCATGGAAGGTGAGAGGAATAACATTTCTGTTATAAAGTTTAGGTACTGAATAAATGGCATCGTTAAAAAGGTCTGAACACACTAACTATGCTTTAACATGTATTGCAGTAAGGAGTTGATAGTAATAGTCAACTGCTATAGTATTTTGTTTGCTATGAAATACTGTCATTAAACTATTGTTATATTTTTTAAAGAGCATCATTATTTCTTGTTTTCTTGCCTCCCTTCACTGTCACCCTAACAGTTCAGTTTTCTACCTAATAACTGAATGGGGTTCAAACTGACATATACTAATGACTGCCAGAAGCTTAACCCAGCCATTTCTGCTGCCATTCAAGGTCTCGGATATGTAACACTTGTGTAACTCCTTTTATTTTCTCAATGTAAAAGCAATATGTAAAGCTTACATTATGGATCGATTTAGATGAAATCTGCAAGAGTCTATAAATATTCTACAATGGTTTTCTACCCCCAAAATATGCCCTACTGGTTTAATATAGTAGATTAATGTGTCAAATTAAAAGGCAGAAATTAAGAAGATATTTTTGTAAAATAACTTTTCATCAAAATAGTTTTGAACCTTTCTTCCAAATAATCCTAAAATACATTCTTACAGTGGAAGTATAAACTGCAGGTGATGTATTTTATAATGGAAACTTTAGGAAACACTCAACTGCTGTGGCAAGGCAATATACAGCAACAATTAATACAAGTAAATGAAATGGTCGGAACTTGAGCAGACAGTTAGATATTAGGTCATATTAAATACATTGACATTACATATATTCACAGGAACACAGGTTAATTAAAAAGCAAAAATACCATACCACAACCCAATCTTATTTAATGCATTGTCATTAGCTAAAAGTACAGAAATTCCCTGACCTTTGAAGTAACCTTTCCAAGGTCTATTTTTCTTCATGTAACTGACTAACACAAGGGAGCTAAATTATGTGTACAGAAATTTACTCTTGACATGGAATTCAGCCAGAAAAAACTAATCTACCAGCATTCAAACACCTGTAAAAGCACTGAAAACCCTGAACAATATGGACTACAGAAAGCAAAAGTTCTTCTGCATAAACAGAGATTTATTACGCATTTCTGCTAGAATGTTCTTCTCTTTATAAAAATAATAAATGTAGTATTCTGCAAATATACTTTTCACAACAACAAAAATCAAGACTTTGAATTGTCCCATGCAAATATCTATTTGTATTGCAACAGTGCTTGATCAAGGCTTTAAGACTTTCTAGCTTAGTTTGGAAAGGCCACATGAAACTAAGCAGCAGATAACCACTAGCCAGATGAGCCACTGCAACAGCAAATCCCCATCTATAAAAATATGACTTTGATATGTCAGAACATTCTTAGAAAAAGTACTTTAAAAGATCTTTCAAATGTCTCTTAAGAGATTAATCAATTAAAAGAATCTCTTGTGAAACGTTACCAGAATTGTATGTAAATTTATAAAAAATACGGCTAAATTAAGTTTTCCTTCTGCATTTAACAGGAGTTTGTGTAAACTTTATCAGCTGACCACCTCCCCTTTTCTTCGTATTTCAAAATGTAAACAAGAGGAAAACAATAGGAAAAAAATTCCAGCTTCAAAAACAAATAAATAAACCCCACAAACAACCCCCACATGGAAACACATTTACATTTATGTTAAATGTATTCCTTTACAAAATAAACTCTATTCCTCTGCATGCAAGCATGATCTAACCAATGCACTGGAACTCCTAAGGAGCTACAGCATCTTCCAAGAATGAATTAGAAAGGCCTATGACTCACATAAGCCAGGAAATTGCATGCAGATTGCAAACCTTTCTAAAACTAAAAGATTTGGAAAAATACTCTCATATGCACAATTGAACCTTGGGTATCTTGTGGCTCAGCTACACATAGTCTGAAGAAACAAGAAGGATGGGAAGAAATACATCAAAAATTTTATGATTTTTTTTCTTTTTAAATAACTGTCATTTGATTTTCGGTTTAAAACATTTTAAACCCAGTAAGATCTATGTGGGACAGATTATTTGGAAAAAGTCTGGTAGAAGTATACAGTTCTCTTCATACATATGCAGCCACTAGTACACGCAGAAGTATATTTCAAATATTTAGGTACAGCCATGTAACAAAGAAAAGGTTCTGACAAACTAACCCACTCAAGAATTGCTTAAAAAAATTATACCAAAAATTGAACTTGAAATTGGTCAGATTAGAAAACAAAGATTCATATTTTGAATAAAGTCCAGACACTTTTATGCTACCAAATCACGTCCTAACTAAAAAAAAAAAAAAAATCAACCTGTAAAAATCTAATTAAATGCCTCATTTACAGTCTATTTGAATTTAATCCTTCGAGATTTCAGTTTCAAAGGATTTGTTTTCACCTATTATTCCCTAACTCCAAATTTATGTCTATTTAACAAAACAAACAGGGACAAGAAAGTATGCTTTGCATAAATTAACTATAGATTATTACTGTTTCTGTGAAAAACAATGCAAAATTTCATTAAACACAGGGCAAAGTACAAAAGGGACAGTTTTATCTTACAGATTAATTGATACCTTATGCGTGTTTCAATTTGATTCAAGAACTTTTTCAGAAATTAAACTGCAGTGAACTAAAACCTCTAACGTACATACTTTAAACTATTTTGTAACACTTTCCCTACCCTACCGTTAGGGAGAAAAAAAAAATAAATTTAAAGAAATCCAAGCACTTACCAGATTTATGCTGCCAGTAGGAGACCCATTAAAAGATTCTGGGAGCAGTGAGGAAGGGGAAAGGAAAAAACAGGTTAGAAGACTTTCTCCAAAGTAGGGCCACACACAAGAAATAAAAATGCAAAGACAAACCATTATGGAAAATAATGGACAACTGTGGCATTGGGCAAAATGTTGCACCTGACATATAACTACTTCAAATTTCCGATAAAGACACCTAAAGGAAAATGTATGTAAGTTTACACAGCTATAGATATGAAATAAATACTCCAGAAAACATTCCTTTTTAAGCTTATATCACCACACGAAATTGCTTCCTCAAGGAGTCAGTTTAATAGTTAAACAATTTCCATTAGATTTGTACTTCAGTTAGAGAAGAATGATTTTAATTGCTATAAAAAGCCACATCTCCTATGTACTTTCAATTTCTATTTCCAGATGAATATAGTTACGTATTAAAACAACCCAACATGTTGAAGTACCTCAAATATTTTTGAATAAAAAACGAGAATGAAAGAGTCGCACACTTATTTTAGCAACACGCTTGTTACCAACACTTGACAAAAAACATACATGAGATTAATAAAGTTACTGCAGAAAAAACTATTTGACTCCCAAAACAATTTACAAAAAAGCACAAGGAGGAAACATTAATGTAAAAGTCAGAGATAGTACAGGAACTTTTTGATTTCTCAAAAACAGTGTGGATAATTTTCTTATTTTCATTTTAAAGCAGAAAAAAGAATAGTCTCAGGAAATCCCCCTTACAGATGTAGAGCTCACCTCCTTCACCGTCATCTGATCCTCTGAAACTAGGATCCTTCAGCATATCCAGCTCAGCTAACATACGCACGTACAACACATTCTGTTTGAACGAAGGGTAGAATCTTTCATCTCGCAGCATCAATTCATACACCTTATTGAAATAAAAATGCCAACCTTAGAAATACTTATTACTTTTTTTGATTAATCAGACAAGCTTTCATAAATTCTACTTGACCAACATGTATCTGTGCATTCTATTATGTGTTTCTGAGTTTCCTTTAAAACCCTAATGTGAGTTTGTGAAATTTCAATTCAGGCTTAGTCTTAATGGAAAGGTTATGAGAACTAATTGTGCTAGAAGTATAATAGAGTCTCAGAAAATACCTTTCTAACTAGTGAGACATGCACGTTTAAGAAGGGAAGTAGCACGTTAACTGTAAACGTTTCGTTCCTCTCCTCTTAACCCTTCCAATTGCACTATAAACATACTTGGTCTTTACCCATTTCACAACAGGTTATCTCTCAGAGTCCTTCTTTGTTGATAAACTATAAACGTAGACCTGCAAACACTTAGGGGGAGAGGTGAGAAGAGGGAAAGGAAGGCAGGGAAAACACTGCATGCTACTTTCCTGAAAATTTCCAGTCCAGCCAATACAGTATAACCCTACCTCACAAAGATTTAACCACACCACCTCAAAAAGTTATCTATATAGCCTATACAGTGACAGTATATATACATATACACACATGTATCTATATGTAGTGGGAATTAATTCATAATATTTGGATACTCATGTCAACTCTAGAATATTTTAGTGATGATTTTTTTTTTCATGAAACACTTTGTACAAGTGCTATCACCTGGTAAGAATGGAAAAAAATTTAATGCCAGTCTGAGGAAGTCAATTAGTTTTGTAACACATGAGAAATTTATGCTCTTTTGCAGAAATCACACACAAGGCCCTTGTAACCTACTTTGGGCAATACAGATTTCACAAGGTGTTTTCATTGGTCTTAAATGTGGGCCTCAAGTACAATAGAGTGATTCTAAGTTCTACAGCTCATATCTCTAATTTTTAACATGAATGAGAACATTCAGTTAATGACCTAAATTAAAAACCTCTCAGACTGGGTATATAATTTACTGCCAGAATATTAATAATTCACTTTTTAAAAAAAAAATATATATATACTAGACTTGAGTGATAAAGTCTACGTATGCAGGTAGTAAAAAGACTGTTTTATCTTCAGTACTTGCTGCTTCTGAGTGCTACACTGTGCAGGCTTGCAAAACAGAACAGTCAAGTTAACTTCTGGAAAGAGATATAGAATTTAATATGGTAACATGGTTACATCCACCTTTGAAAAAGAGAGCTAAGACCACACCAAAATTGTACCACTTAGCTATTCTACACAGGCACTTTTCTTAAATTGGTGCATAAACACAAATAATAATCCCATAATTCTAAATTGTGCTTCATAATTAATTTCATACAGGACACCTAATCCTTCTGTCTATTGCTTTGAAAACCATGGGCTACGTATGGCTAAGCAGAACTTGGCAATTTAGAGTATGATTTTTATAGAACAGGAAAATGGTAAAACAGGTTTTAGTTTCAGATATTTGAGTTCCTTCCTCCTTTTTCAATGGCTGTAGTGGCATTTAATACTCTATAGCATTAACAGTTCTTATGAAATACGGGATGAATAGAGTATACCTTTCTCTGAATGTCATCAAAGATTTCAGGTGTTGGATCCTCATGGTTCAGTGTTTCTGCCAGTTTTGCTACTAAGTTGTCATCAATATTAACTCTCGGAGATGCCTGTCAGAGATCTAAATCAACTTTTGCAGCATAAAAATAAGCAAGCTTCTATTTTCACAAATAAAATCCAATCCAATTCTGCAATTCTCTAAGTAAACTACATTTCTTCTTGATGAGTATCTCTAGAACTCTCTAGAACACACAACAGTCAGACTCCCTCCTCCCCCCAAAATTAACTTCAGAGTTTGTATTAAAACTCAGAAGTTTCAGGATTAAATACTAAGAATCACCTCAAAAACAATTTATGTACATTATTTTGAAGCAACATCTAAACCAGATCTACACAGTCTTAAAAACAGATTTTATTTATTTATGAATATAAAGATCTAGATTCAGAAATTAAGAAAAAGGCAGTAAGAAAGTAAACGGATGAAGTCCTGAAGCATCTGAGGAAAGGCTAACAGTTTGTCAACTCTGCCAATTTCTGGAGACATTACCAGTAGCTGTAATCATGGTAGCTTTTTATGCAGACTCTATTACAGCTACCAGCATACTAACCATATCAGACATCAGATTTCCAGTCATCCCTTGCTAGACATATTTCAAACCACTGCCCATTAAACATTCTTTTAGATTGGCCCAAGTTCACTCACTTTCCTCATTTTCTGTAACAGACACAGGGAGCCAGCACTGAACCAGACCCAACATAGCTCACTTGATAGCATAGCTGAAAGGCTGAGTTCATCGGCTTTGGAATAGCTCTGGCGGTAGCTGGCTTCTGACTTCAAACTGGTGAGCATTCAGTCAGCTCAAAAACCCATCAGAGCAAGCTCTGCACAGTCCACCATGTTGATAGACTATTGAGGTGAAAAACTTATCAGAGCGAGCTCCGCACAGACCACCATGTCAACAGACTACTGAGGTGAAAAAACAAAGTGAAAGAAATGATGCGGAAGAGAAGCATAGAGAAGATATCTGAGGGATAATTTGTTGAGGGAAACTTTTGAGTGAGTTGAGAGGTGATTTTTATGCATATACAAATTCAGAACAAAGATGCTTTGTTAACACAAGTTGACAAGTGTTTTCTTTCACAGAAGACTCCGTTATTACAAGACTACTGGAAGCATTCAAGATTAGCCTATTGAAAGATACCCAATGGTGATATTTGAGCAATTTATAAAGACATTTGTAGAGAGGCACAGGAAGTTATTTCATTTGAAAACCCAATCTTAATCCAAGTTTGCACAAATATTGGGTTGCATTTTTTTTTTAAAAACATTTCTTATTAAGGGGGGAAAGGAGGGCAGGGTAAAAGGAAGGGCAAGGGGAAAGGACAGCATGCACAAAGGGACAGAATTTCTTATTCTTTCTTCACGTTTTCTCTAGTTTTTGTCTATTCTAGAAAGTCAGCTTCTGAGGAACATATTCAGTGCATTTGACAGTATAGTCAGGGCCAGTATGAGCCTTTTTAAATGGAGAGAGGGGGGGAAAAAAAGAGAAAAAAAAAAGAGGAAGGCATTTTCTTACTGCTTGACATAAGGAGAGAGAACATACACAAGTAATAGCTTAAACGTCAACTTGTAAACAACTTGTGCTACATCACATCCATTTCATATTAATGTAGCCATAACTACCAAAGAAACATCTGTACAAAGAATAAATTCCAAACAATGCAGAAATAAGTTTTCCTACCTTTTCTGACAAATATTGCTCATAGACTCCAAATGCAGCTGCTCTTAATAGACCCTTGGTTTGATTAGTCTGATGTTTTCCATCTTTCTGCCGGCTTTGAAGTACCTCCAGCTGTTGCTGTGCCGTAACCCTGTATCCTTCCACTGTCATCCAGAAAAACAGATGTGCTTGGCCACCAGTCTGCTGCATGTAATCTACAGAAAACAGCCACCACACAACCATAGTTATTGTTGTGCATCTTAGAATGAGAATTCTCTATGATGTTAACTACATATGGAACTCCAGGATCTGGTTATACATCTGCAATACTTGTCGTCTAGAGTCAAAAAATAAGAAGTACTATATACATATTGGTGATAATCAGTAAACAAAATTGGGAGCAAAGTCTAGGAACTAAGCACTGAATCCTCAAATGCACATGTAAAAAGTGAATCCATCATTACTGTGTGGATACAACAGCCCTATACAGCATGATACAAGTTGAGAGGAAGTCCAAACTGGTACTCTAACAAATCACGTGCATCTACTGCAATAAAAGGACTATTGCCACCAAAAAACTGATTGATATTCTTCGTGATGACCATCAGCAGCCCAAATAATTCACAGAAGAGTCTCAAGCATTAGAAAGTATTAAAAATTAATTATACTTTAATCCATCTATCAATTTCTTGATTGTATGATAAACCTAAAATAGCACATAAATTACTGCTGTATTTTAGCTTCTCAGACAACCTTCAATAGCCTTGTAATCCTCTAAACTTCAATCTAACATCTATAGTCATTAGCTTCAGTGATACCAGCAAAAGTAAGACTAACGACTGTCATAAGTTTCAGAATCATTCCAGTCACAAACCTCTAAGCAATTCTTGCAATGATTCTGTTCTAAACAGAATGAACTTGTTAAGCAATAGACTAAGAAAAATTGCAAGATCAGTCTTACAGAGAGATCGGTATTGAAACAAGCTTGATACAAGCTTTCAGAAGTAGCAAGTATGGTGTTCTGAACAGTTAATTACAGACTGATTTGCGAAAAAGGTTTTGGTTCCCTCTGGCAAGGGGCTTATACACATTTAGCTCTCAGTAGACACCTATATTTAGTGATTTCAAGTATACAGTCCTGTGAGTTAGCATATTCTTTATAAATAAAAGAGACCAGAAATTAACTTACCCATAAAAAATTGTAGTGCAACATTGTCTACCAGAATATGGTCCAGAGGGACTGTGCAAAGTTTTCCAAAGTTTGCTGCCAGTTTCACAGTATCTATTTCCTGTAAGATACAGTTCAGCATGTTCATAAGCTTTATTTTTTTAAAAATTAGCTTTTAAAACTTGTGCTTACCACAAAGCAAACATAATAAAAAGTAATTTGTATTATATATAATAAAGCAGCCTCTCAAAGGTTAGTTATTTTCACAATCACTAATAAGTGAAGATCAAGATCATAAGGTCATGTTCTCATAACTATTTGCCTTCAACATGGATGATTTCTGCTACCTGGGAAGCTGGCTTTGAACATGGCCATTATTGTAATACCATACAGGCCTAATTAACCCCAAATCCCTCACCAACAGTGACAGTAGCATGAATTAACAAGATGAACAATTTCAGAATTTGATGGGATGCAGGTCACCACAACTTAAATTCATCTCTGCCCAACTTTCTTCTGTTAGCATGACATTTCTTGGTATTACAGTAATGCTTCTGGATCCAGCTGTAGAATACTTAAACATTTCAACAGTCAATATGCACAAGTTTACATTATCTTGGAGCCACGTCTAAGTCCAATCAAGAGAGTCAAGAAACTATGCAAAGTCAAACATACTGACTCTGTCAGCCTTAAAATATAAAACGAAATATAAAACAAGCAAACAGAACAACATTAGGTTCTCAAATTTAACATCTAGTTTGCCTTAGGCTTTTCACTGAACTAAAGAGGTAAATGTCTGACAAAAGGCAATACATGGAGTCTACAAGGCATTGCAAAATAATCACAAGTGTTACCTTTATCAACAAGAAAAAGAGATCTCTGCCAAAGACAAAGCTTGAGGCACACAAGGTATGCATTGGAGCCGCGAAAAAGAACTGAATCTCGGTGTATTTATACAAAGATACTTTGTGTCTATGTAACATTTTAGTTTAACTCTTGTATTGAGAAGAATAGTTTTAAGATGTACTGACATACCTAAACTGCTAAAGCCAGAATCCAAAAAACTCTAAACATGTGAACCTTTAGAAAAATTTTCCATATTAAAACTGCAAATACAAGACTCACTTCAGTTGCAAGTTGTGTTTCCAGACGCAAGAATTAAAAAGCTACACCGAACCAGTAAGTTGTTTGCAACTTCACTCTTTTGGAACTAAAATAATTCTAAAATACTTACTTTTCCTGACTGCAATCTCTGAATTCTTGAATCACATACTTTAATAACATATAATAAACTGTTTATTTGATTTTTTATAGTGTTGATATCTGAAAGCAAAACCAAACAAGATTAAGCAATGCAGATGAGTATATAAACTTCTGTACTGAAATGCTCTAAAAATATAATACAAAAAGTGACACAACACATACAAAACACATCAGCTTTGAAGAGAAGGGGTGTTTTCAGTTTAAATACCTTACTGCTGAAAGTCAACAAGAAGAAATATTTTTCTCTTTCCTTTTACACATCAACTGTTAACTGACTACCCATTAATACCTAAAGTATTAGTGAAATTCAGAACCACCAGTCAGGCAAGTTTCTATTCAGTGGCAGTAACATCTAATCAATTAGTCTATATTTATAAAAAAAAAAAAAAAAAAAAAAGAGACGGACAGATGGTAAAAAGGACCTGTTTTCAACACATAAGAAGATTCAAGTTTTAATGGTTTACGTATTTTTTTTTTAAATAACAATATTTTATACTATGCTGCATCAGAGTTTGTATTTTCTAAATTTTTTGAATGTTCTTCAGAGATCATGCTGGCAAATGCATTTCATATTTTGTACAACACAGTACTAACCATCTCCTGCTGTATCTAGAGATCGAAGATATTGCAGTTCTTCACTTGCTTTATCTTTCACTGCTTCCAACTCTCCTATATTATCACTTAATTTAATAATATTCATAAAGGCCTCATAGTTACAGTTGGAATCACGAATCTGAAACAGAAAATTTTACAGTGCGAATAATGCAAAACAGGTAAAAGCAGACGACGTGATTTTTCATTAAATGAATTCTTTTGACACAGCACTGCAAAGTGGCATTTTGAAAACACTTTGATGCTTCTAAACCCTCCTCTTGATACTAAAATTGTCCATGGACCAAGAAAGAAGCAGCATGCACACAGTCAAAACCTATTTCACACCACCATTTTCTGTTTTCAGGAAGTACAACAAAGACACATGGAACGTGTGTCAACCTACTTAATAAAGATCTTGTCCAAAATTTAACCCACCTTCTTCTGCTATTACCCATCTACTTAGCTAAGTAGGCAGAAACTGATGAGACCACTGAAAAGGCTTCAACTTTGCCAAGGTCCCCTGCAAGTGTACATGCTCCCAATGTAATGGCTTCTTAAGATACAGAATTACAAAAAGAATTAAAATATTCTACAGTGTAACCATAACCTACTGGGGGAGAGAAGGAAGAAAAAAAAAAATAAAAAAGGAAATGACTGAATTAATAACCTCTCTGAAACCCTAATTCTGATACCCCTTGTAAATACTACTAAGCTATTTCAATACATACTATTTTCCCAGTATTGGCACAGGCTGAACCTGCTCTGGGGACTCAAAGGAATTTCTGCAAGTGAAGGAAGCCTGCTGTGCTGCTGAGGTCACTGGAAACTGTGTTGTGAATGCAGCATGGAGATCAGGAGAAGGTTGGCAGCTTTACAGCATGTACACGCAGGTGCAGAGGGCTGAGTTCTAATGCTGTCTTTACCATCTGAAGCCAAAAAAATCACTTCACCCACATCCTTTATAAATGCTCACTTTGATATGGAAATGTAACACTCGGTCTGTACTGCAGAAGTGCATTGACATGAGCTGCATGAGCAGAGAGAATAAAGAGTGGATACCTTTGACCGAGGTTAACGGAAAATCTTCCTAGAAATCTGTTTTGAAAAAAATAATAGTACAAGCAATACTTGAACTTTGAACATTTTGTAAAAATGTGAATTTCACAGTGAAGAGACAAGTTTGGATTAACTTCTAATTTTATATTGAAGCTTTATATTTTATTGCAAGAGAATTAGTACCGAACTAAGGTGTGCCTAGAAACATGGAATTAAACTTCTCATTTTCAGAGATAAATTTGTTCGTTCAAATCTGATTTTATGTCAAAGGTTCCAAAAGGAACCAGAATTTGAGTCATGTCTACTTTTGACCTCAATTTCTGCAACAATCTTCATTTCATAAGACTTGTATTAAATTTTTGAAAGCATTTATTCTCCCTTATCTTCCCCCCCAGCACATTTACTTCCTCATCTCAGAAAGCAATTATGAAAATTAATATTTGGGACATCACCATCATAACAGAAAGCTTTATAAAAACCTCAGAATTCTATTTTTGGATGCAGCCGGGGGCAGTGCGCAGTAAATAAAGAATGAGGCCAAGTTACAAATAAAGAACATGCGTAGGAGGAAAGGGTAAACAAAAATTTAAAAGCTTGGTCCATATGAGCAGCAGTATTTTTTCATATTAAAGCTAGGTTCCTGCAAGAAAAGCAGCATGCAAACTTTTACATAAAATGGAGGTGGCTGGAGTGAATGAAACATTGTACATGTACACTTGAATTCATTCCATATGTAAGAATTTTTACTGTGAACTCTGAGGGCGTTTTCAGCGTAGTACTTGAATGCACACTCTAAGACTAAAATATATGGATAAATATAGAGAGAACGTGGAGAAAGGAAAAAAAATTAAAACTTGACTCATGACCTACAAAGGATAATAAACCATAAAAGTAAGTTTCAACTTGCTTTGCAAAAAATCAGTAACATTAAAGTGTGAACATTCTATTTATGTTAATTTTACTACATATTATTTCTTTAAAAGTTGGGGGTTTTTTGCAGGTGCATTAGAGAGATATTGACGTAAAGACTTTATTTCTTCCCATTCAGTTAAATTATTAAGAATTACCACAAATATCCCTAAAAAAAAAAAAACATCCTGAGATTCCTTAGCAAAGAAAAAAAAAATTTTTTTTTTTAAATCTTACTACTTTTCATTCTGGAGGCCTCTTAAGCTTTAAAGGACACACTGAAAAAAAGAGCCAAGGAAAAAACCTTCCAAGGTTACTGCCATACTTCCTGAACAGCTAAGTAAATCAGTCAGAGGACTCAGCTTTACACTTTGCCATACATCTGTCCTGAGTCAGCCAACTTTTGCCAAACCACCACAACAGAGGA